TAGAGTGCATTTGGATGATCCAGAAGAGGATTGGGAGAATGTCATATGGTCAGATGAAACCAAAATAGAACTTTTTGGTAAAAACTCAACTCGTCGTGTTTGGAGGACAAAGAATGCTGAGTTGCATCCAAAGAACACCATACCTACTGTGAAGCATGGGGGTGGAAACATCATGCTTTGGGGCTGTTTTTCTGCAAAGGGACCAGGACGACTGATCTGTGTAAAGGAAAGAATGAATGGGGCCATGTATCGTGAGATTTTGAGTGAAAACCTCCTTCCATCAGCAAGGGCATTGAAGATGAAACGTGGCTGGGTCTTTCAGCATGACAATGATCCCAAACACACCGCCCGGGCAACGAAGGAGTGGCTTCGTAAGAAGCATTTCAAGGTCCTGGAGTGGCCTAGCCAGTCTCCAGATCTCAACCCCATAGAAAATCTTTGGAGGGAGTTGAAAGTCCGTGTTGCCCAGCGACAGCCCCAAAACATTACTGCTCTAGAGGAGATCTGCATGGAGGAATGGGCCAAAATACCAGCAACAGTGTGTGAAAACCTTGTGAAGACTTACAGAAAACGTTTCAGCTGTGTCATTGCCAACAAAGGGTATATAACAAAGAATTGAGAAACTTTTGTTATTGACCAAATACTTATTTTCCACCATAATTTGCAAATAAATTCATAAAAAATCCTACAATGTGATTTTCTGGATTTTTTAAAATTATTTTGTCTGTCATAGTTGACGTGTACCTATGATGAAAATTACAGGCCTCTCTCATATTTTTAAGTGGGAGAACTTGCACAATTGGTGGCTGACTAAATACTTTTTTCCCCCACTGTATATATTTTGAAGAGCGTGGGGCTTAAACTGCATCCCTGTCTCACCCCACGGCCCTGTGGAAAGAAATTTGTGTTTTTTGCCAATTTAAACCACACACTTGTTGTTTGTGTACATGGATTTTATAATGTTGTATGTTTTTCCTCCAACCCCACTTTTCATCAATTTGTATAGCAGACTCTCATGCGAAATTGAGTCAAAAGCTTTTTTGAAATCAACAAAGCATGAGAAGACTTTGCCTTTGTTTTGGTTTGTTTGTTTGTCAATTAGGGTGTGCGGGGTGAATACGTGGTCTGTCGTATGGTAATTTAGTAAAAAGCCAATTTGACATTTGCTCAGTACATTGTTTTCACTGAGGAAATGAACTAGTCTGCTGTTAATGACAATGCAGAGGATTTTCCCAAGGTTGCTGTTGACGCATATCCCACGGTAGTTATTGGGGTCAAATTTATCTCCACTTTTGTGGATGGGGTGATCAGTCCTTGATTCCAAATATTGGGGAAGATGCCAGAGCTAAGGATGATATTAAAGAGTTTAAGTATAGCCAATTGGAATTTGTGGCCTGTGTATTTTATAATTTAATTGAGGATACCATCAACACCACTGGCCTTTTTGGGTTGGAGGGTTTGTATTTTGTCCTGTAGTTCATTCAATGTAATTGGAGAATCCAGTGGGTTCTGGTATTCTTTAATAGTTGATTCTAAGATTTGCATTTGATCATGTATATTTTTTTGCTCTTTGTTCTTTGTTATAGGGCCAAAAAGATTGGAGAAGTGGTTTACCCATACATCTTCGTTTTAGATAGATATCTCTTCGTGTTGTTGTTTGTTTAGTGTTTTCCAGTCTATCGATTCTTCAATTACATTGAGCTGATTTCTGACATGCTGTTCCTTCTTTTTCCATAGTTTATTTCTGTATTGTTTTAGTGATTCACCATAGTGAAGGCGTAGGCTCAGGTTTTCTGGGTCTCTATGTTTTTGGTTGAATAGGTTTCTCAATTTCTTTCTTAGGTTTTTGCATTCTTTATCAAACCATTTGTCATTATTGTAACTTTTCTTCAGTTTACTGTTAGAGATTTTTAGATTTGATAGCGAAGCTGAGAGGTCAAATATACTGTTTAGGTTTTCTACTGCCAAGTTTACTCCTTCACTATTACAGTGGAAAGTTTTGTCCAGGAAGTTGTCTAAAAGGGACTGGTAGTTTTTTGGTAGGTTTCGACACTACTTTCCTTCCATCTATAGCATTTCTTAATATTATTCAGTTCCTTTGGCTTTGATGCCTCATGATTGAGTATTGCTCTGTTCAAGTAGACTGTGATTTTGCTGTGGTCTGATAGGGGTGTCAGTGGGCTGACTGTGAACGCTCTGAGAGACTCTGGTCTGAGGTCAGTGATAAAGTAGTGGGGGGGGGGGGGGGGCACTGCTGCCTTGTATAGGTGGACCTGGTCGTAAAGGCTGTTCAAGTCCAGGGTGGAGTGGTGGGCCAGGTAGACATTTGGTTTTGAGGCACAGTCAAGGGAAATACTTGCGTTTACCTGCTGTATGGTAGCAGGGTGGAAGTCTTTTTGTGGTAGCAGGGTTGAGACAACCACTTGAGTGCTGTGGCCACCCTTTCCTGCTGTGTTCTCAGGTCGTTTGTGCCTGTGTATATTATTATGTGGTTGGGTGATCCTAGTTGGTCCTCAGACAGAAGGTCTAGGGTGCGCTGGGTGTTTGGACACCAGAGTTTAGACACTGTGTTTGGGAAAACGTTTATTTTCTTGTATGTATTTCCCGTTTGAGTCCATAAGGAGTACAATCTGTGGCTTGTGTATGTCCACAGTGGGTGTGGGGGGGTCGTCAGGAAGGCTATCAGGGGGTGCTCAGAGGGGTTGGGATCCCCTGGGCTTGGGGTTCTTCATTTGTTTGTCGAGGCTATGGTCAGGGTCTAGGGTGTACTGTTCTGCTGCGGTGTTGAGACTTTGGTCAGGATCTGAGGTGGGCTGTTCTGCTGGCTTCTCTGCGGGGGTGGCCACCTCTTTAACGGGTTGTTCTCTGTCATCCGTCATCGTTCTCACCTTCTCCTCCAGCACTCTGATCCTCTCCTCTAGTGCTCTGTTCTTCTCCTGCTCCTGTTCTTTCTCCAGTTGATGTTGTCTCACCACAGTCCAGAGTGCAGACATGTCTCTCTCCACCTCTAGCTCTCCAGGTCTAGTTAAGGGGGTGTTGTTGTGCTGGACTGTTGTCTGAGTCTGTGCTGACTGGAGTGTAATCACCTGCTGTTCCAGCTCCACCTGCCTTACCTCCAGCTGGGTGAATTTATCCTTCATTTCAATGAGGGAGTAGTACTCTGTGCTGGGAAGTTGACTTTCCACTTGGGGTTGCTCGTCAGTGGGGTTATTTAATGAAGAGGTCTGGTCTGACCCGCTCAGGGTGGGGGTATCTTTCTCAAGGGAGAGCTTCTCCTGCTGAGCTATTTCTTTGATTAGGTGAAAGTCCAGCTGAAACTGTTTGGGGTTGCCCTGTACCAATACTGTTCCATATTTATAGAGATTTATATTATTGTCCTAGCAAGCTTGGTAGCCTTAGCATTCAGTCCTTAGAAAGTAAAAATAACATTGTAATGTATTTTTCTTCTTGGTTTTGGAAAGTAAAAAATAGCTTCAGACTGAACATTACTCACTCAGTTCGAGGTTGGATGGTGTTTTCAGGTTTCTGTTTGTTTGCCAGAGCATTTGCTGTATAGCATGGGAATAGTAATCCTTGATAGGAGAAAGCCTTCCAGGTAATTCCGTCGAAAATCAGGTTGTAGGTTTGGAGTTTTGGTTTGGAGTGAAGGTTATGTTGTGGAGGGTAGCATCCTGTGTATGTCCCTGCCAAAAAATCCAAGTTTATCTAACTCTAAATCTATATATTTTGTAAAAACATGCTGAAAAATGCAGGAGCTCTCTCTCTCTCTCTCTCTCTCTCTCTCTCTCTCTCTCTCTCTCTCGCTCTCTCCCCCGTCTCTCTCTCTCTCTCCCCCGTCTCTCTCTCTCTCATTGATTTTAAGGAACATAAGGACTGGTTTCTTGAACCTAGATTAAGTCGAGACTCGTGCAGTGAAGAATCTCCATTGAAAGTCTTTTTGGTCCAGGACTAGGCTTAATATGTGTCCAAGAAACTGGCTTGTAGTGTTTTTGTAGATACCAATAACATAGAAATAGGTAGCCTAACACATGGGAGGACACACTGGGTGTGTCCCAATAATATCACCTTTCTCCTGAAGTGTGCACTCGTTCACTACTTCCCACAAGTGTAAAAGCTTTATGAAGCTTTTTTGATCAATGAAGGTGTAGACTAGAGGGACTTTTCACCATATTTATTATACCAATAATTTCCTTTCAATTCCATCATTCCAATGACAGTTTGTTTCCAGTGGATTTTGAATAGCAGTTTGAATGGAGGGATATCTGTGCATTCACCTGCCACATTCAACTGTCTATTTCCAGAAGCATTCACTCAATAAATCAACAGCCGTGAGTGGGGATGGAACGCTTACAAGTTTTATCAGTTTCTCTAAACCGAGCAGTCAACGGAGGACAAACAGTAGATGAGTTAGCCCTTTCTATTGCATTTGAATGGCCATTGTCTGAGACCGAAATCCACCAGACAATCCGAGCGGGGGGGGGGGGGGGGGGGGGGGGGGGAGAAAAGGCTTATTTTCCTAGCAGTTCAGGCTGTGGCTCTTCTGTGCGTGCTCCTGTTACTCCGACCGTGTCCTCTGTCCAGGCACAGCCGGGCCCACATTTGCATGACAGGGTCCACTTGAATGTGGAGGCCAGATTCTCACTGCCTGGCATGCAAACCAGTGGGGGACCAGTTAAAAGAGGCGCACGCGCACAGTCAACACAGGTGTGCACCAGTAAGAAAGCCTCCCCCACCCCAACCCACCCCACCCCAACCATCGAAATGAGTGTTATGGAAATGAGCGCTGTGATTTTCTTGAGCTATCTGGACGGAGGTTGGTTAGAGGGTAAAGGCAGGGTGGGGAGGGGATGGCCAACGGTGAGTGGGGGGGTGTAAGGTGATACCTGGTCCTGTAGCTGAACACAAAACCAAAGTGGTGGGACGCAGGAGCATTTGACAGTAGCCTGAGTCAGAAAGTAGCAGATTCATACAGAGACGAGAGCGAGAGAGAGAAAGAGAGGATGCCGCGGTCGTTCCTACTGAATAAGAAAAAGAAGAAACAGGGGGCATGTGGAGGATGGAGGTGGAGAGACCCAGAGCAGACAGACTGGAAAGAGGACAACAGAACAGGTCAGTTCTGGATATGTTTATTCATATTGTTCAAGAAGACAAGTATTATTTTTCTTCTTCTTCTACTGTTGTTAATAGTAGTATCTGAGAAAATAGTAAATGTGCAAGAAAAGGGAGAAAGAGAAACTACATGTAAAGTGTTGGTCCCATGTTTCATGAGCTGAATTAAAACATCCCAGAAATTTTCCATACGCACAAAAAGCTTATTTCGCTCAACTTTTGTGCACAAATTTGTTTACATCCCTGTTAGTGAGCATTTCTCCTTCGCCAAGATAATCCATCCACCTGACAGGTGTGGCATATAAGAAGCTGATTAAACAGCATGTTCATTATACAGGTGCACCTTGTGCTGGGGACAATAAAAGACCACTGTGTGGGAGCCTCATTATTTTGTTCGATCTTTACTGTATTTATTACAATGTATTATTTTTGTTGAAGAAAAAAAATCCTAATTATTATTATTATTATTAATACAGACAATCCGTATTTGCATTTAGTTTGAATTGTATTGTTGTCATTTTTAGGAAAGTTACAGGTTTGTTTTATCAGATGACAGAATATTATAGAATAGCCTCACAGGCAGTTTGATACTGGTGTTGCCTCATAGGTTGGTTATTTTTAATGAATGTCTATGCGTGTTTTGAGTCTTTGTCTCTTACCTTTTCAGTGTGTGAGAATGCTGAGGTGCAGTCTACAACAGTCACCTGCCCTGACTCCCCTAAATATGTGGCTCTGCCTGAGCCAGCTATCCCCTCCTCAGGACCAGGACTTTGGGCAGGGCCAATAGGCGGAACAGGACCAGTACCAGGGGAAGGACCAGAGGTCGGGCCAAACAGGGGCCAAGGTTGGTCCAATCTTCTGTCCCAGACCATGGGCCAGGGTCATTTCTACCTCCCTGCTGCACTGGCACTGGCCTCCAGAGCCAAGGTAAACTCCCACTGCATTTCTATGAGACACTGGTGTCTATGAAATGTCTGTTGGTTGCTGTGAAACACAGTTATGTATAGGTAGATAGTCTCGGAATGCCATCCTTCCAAGTCTTGTTCATCACTCAGAGGAAACCTGGAAATCTTTGTGATATGCTGTAAAAGGAAGTTCACAACTCATGAAAACCATGTTTGATTGAATGTGTCCTAGAGTCCCTTATCAAAGAGTTTACATTAAATTGAAGCAGTGTCTGTGTCATAACCGACGTGTTCCTGTCTTCTTTCCCTCAGCCCCGCCCCCGTGTCCCCCCCAGCTCGGGTGACTTCCTGTGTTCGGTGTGTCACAAGGTGTTTCCCCTGCAGCGCATGTTGACGCGCCACCTCAAGTGCCACAGCATGGTGAAGAGACACCCCTGTCGCTACTGTGGCAAGGGCTTCAACGACACCTTCGACCTCAAGAGGCACATGCGCACACACACAGGTGAGAGGAGTGAAAACACACACACTACTCCGTCTTCAACCCCCCCTCACACACTCTCCTCACCCGCTCTCCCCTCCTGCCAGGTATCCGTCCGTACCGCTGCGAGCTGTGCGACAAGGCCTTCACCCAGCGCTGCTCCCTTGAATCCCACCTGAGGAAGATCCATAGCGTGCGCCAGCAGTACGCCTACCGCCAGCGCCGCTCCAAGATCTTTGTGTGCGAGGACTGTGGCTACACGTCCAACCGTCCCGAAGAGTACTTCCTCCACGTGCGCCAGTGCCACCCGGGCAGCCCAGCCCTGCGGCGCTACTACCGCCGCCAGGCACACGAGGGCACCAACAACGTGCCCGCCGAACACAAACTCAGTCCCTTCTTGATGTATCCCACTGGGTACTATGTGGGTTGATTTAAGCTCCTGGGTGAAGTTTCACTAGTAACATTCAAGTGTGCTAGTCGGTTTCTGCCTTAGCCAATTCCTTCGTTGTAACCTTGCCACAAAGCAGAGACAGGCTAGCATCAAGGCTAACACATCAATATTACAGCAAGGTGACTGGACAATTTGTTTGGGGTTATGCCCCACCCAGTCAGTAGGCCAAAATAACATTGAAAATCATCAGCATTGTTATGGCTATTTGAAAAGCATCCCCTCCTTGTGTCCACTTGAGGTAATGCAGAGAGATTAAGGAGGGTGTGTCTGGTCAATAGTCAACTACAGTCAATGTTGATTAAAGGTATGTTTTTGTGGAGTGGTGACTTATCAATGTGTCCTTTAAACTGAACTGTACCCCTGGCACACAGGCCTGTCCCTCCTCTCCACCCACCTGTACAGCTTCAACCACTCCATGTTATATTGACTTGCTTATTTATTTGCATGGTGTATTTCTACTGCATGTTTGACGTTTCATTATGATATTGTGTTTTAAAGACGTGACACTTGCCAAACAAATGTTTCAATCTCAGGATAATAAAATCCCTCTAATCCTAATTCCAATGCATGGAATGACATGTGCTTTAATACTGTATGTTACCAGGGCAGTGTTCAGGAGGGTGCAACGTTACAGAACGATTAGATAGATAGAAATACCTTGTATAGAACAATGATTGCCTGTCAGGTTGAATATGGAATCAGCTTTCTATCTGAACGTTATGCAACGTTACCAGGGCTGTGTTCAGTGAGGTGAAACATTCAAAATGTTGCACATTTAAACATATCGTGTAGAACATATATAATTGTCTGTCCAGCAGAATAGGGAATCAAACTCTATACATTACATTTCTGTTTGCAACGTTTCACCTCACTGAACACCTGGGAGGTGACATTCCACGTCACTTGGGCAATGTCCCTAATAAAGTGCACTACTTCTGACCGAGGCCCATAGGGGTCTCGTCAAAAGTAGTGCACTATATAGGTAACAGGGTGCCATTTGGGACTCACATTGTATGTGAGCCACATAGTTAGAATTGACTTCTTGGAAAATGGACACAGCCCTCCATGGTGCTACCTTGAGTCGTCACAAAAGCAATAAATGGAAAAGATAGCTGCACCCCTCTAGGTTTTAGAACTATGGTGTGAGCCAAACTCATGTGCCCTCCCATGGTTCTCTGCAATACTCTAAGCAGGGTACGAGAGCGGTGCATGGTATGTAAAACACAAGAGCCTAAAGGATTTTAGTGTTTGCTTATCGTTGTATGTCAACAACCATATTTCTTGGAGGCGCAGCCAGATAAAACCGATTGTAGTTAAGGCACATATTTACTTATTGCAGTTGCAACACAGATCAGGGAATATTAAGAATTCAAACTGCTGCCATCTAGTAGTAACATCTGTACTCTAGAAGACTGATCCAATAATCCATAAGAATTACTAATACTGTAACAAGTTAGTTCAATATTGTGAGTTATGAGAAGTCTCCAGTGAGTGAATCATTAATCCAAGATGGGATTTAGGGCACACGACAGAAACATTTAAAAACATTTTACAACATAAAACAAAAGTGTTTCTTAATGGACAAGTTCAGGTAGTTCATCCCCATTTCAGTAAATTTGGTGCATAATGAACATGATCCAGGAAATGAATGTACAAATAGACAGCTTTTCTGGGGGCTTTGAAGGAGGGAATAAAACAAATCTAACCGTCACAACTGCAACTTTTTATATTTATTATCACAGCCACAATATTTTTTATGATAAATTATTTATAAATGATCTATGACATCACACAGTCAGCTGAGTACCTTTTATTGTACACAGTTTATAAAATAAATCTGGATAGAATAGTTCACTATATATATATATAGTAACATAACATTCAAAAAAGTGTTGTCTTTTAATGCTGGTGGGTTGAATGTGACACCAGCACGTCAGCCTTGTCTGCAGAGTAAAAGATCTGGACAAGAAATGAGAAGACTTTCACCCCCCCTCCCCCCTCCCCTCCCCTCCCCTCCTCCCCCCCCCCCTTCCCTCCTTCTTCCTCCTCCTCCCCCCCCCCCCCCTTTCCCTCCTTCTTCCTCCTCCTCCTCCTCCTCCCCCCCTTCTTCCTCCCCCTCCTTCTTCCTCCTCCTCCTCCCCCCCCCCCTTCCTCCTCCTCCCCCCCTTCCCTCCTTCTTCCTCCTCCTCCTCCTCCTCCTCCCCCCCCCTTCTTCCTCCCCCTCCTTCTTCCTCCTCCCCCCCCTTCCTCCTCCTCCCCCCCTTCCCTCCTTCTTCCTCCTCCCCCCCTTCTTCCTCCCCCTCCTTCTTCCTCCTCCCCCCCCTTCTTCCTCCCCCTCCTTCTTCCCCCCTCCTCCTCCCCCCCCTTCTTCCTCCTCCTCCTCCTCCTCCCCCTCCTTCTTCCTCCTCCTCCTCCTCCTCCCCCCCCTTCCCTCCTTCTTCCCTCCTCCTCCCCCCCCCCCCCCCCCTTCTTCCTCCTCCTCCTCCCCCCCCCCCCCCTTCCTCCTCCTCCTCCTCCTCCTCCTCCCCCCCCCCCCCCCAGCTGGGTTGTCAAGCCGCGCTTGTGGAAGATCATTGGTCAGAAGATCAAGAGCATGGGCTCTTAGTCTTGCTTAGCCAATGGAAAGGTGCGTTTAATTCTGGAGTAAGGTCCCAGCGAATCACAAAACACAAAGTCCCAGAGCACCCGTATCCATGAGTCATGCTGGGGTAAATCATCATAGAACTCTGGAGCCATCTTCTTCACCTGAACAAAAGAGGAATGAGGGAGCGAGAGAAAGTTAATTTTTGTTCTAATGTGAAGGGGTGAGTAAATAGCACAGCAGTGAGAACTCACATGGAGGATGATAGTCAATGGATCCATTAGTAGGGTAAAGACACAGTATACACAAAGCATCTCAGTAAGAGTTCTGATCAGTTTGGCCTTTTAGATGATAATAAATACGATTACATGGACGGGGGGGGACAACGACCTGATTCTAGATCAGCACTCTTACACTTTATGAATACTGACCCTGATCTATGGCTAAGTTTTTCTACTGAACAAAAACTCATTCTGATTAGCCTGGCTCCCCAGTGGGTGGGTCTATGCCCTCCCAGACCCACCCATGGCTGCTCCCCTGCCCAGTCATGTGAAATCCATAGATTAGGGCCTAATGAACACATTTCAATTGACTGATTTCCTTCTATGAACTGTAACTCAGTAAAATCTTTGAAATTGTTGCGTTTATATTTTTGTTCAGTATAGCTTTAGTTCATGACCCCAGGTAGAAGGGACTAAACAAAGCTCACTCAGAGGATGGGATACATATTTTGTAAGGCTATCTGTACAAAGAACTAGTATACAAATTAACTTCGATTAGTTGCTTGACCAGTGGGAGAGACAAAGGCATTTCAAGATGCCAATAGTTTGAGGAAAAGTGAGGGTCTAAAACATAAAACTTGTCAAACATGTGAGATATCCCTGTATCCATAGTAACTAAATTAATAAATGGGGTAAAACATAAAACAGGAGTACATTGTTCAAACAAGTACATATCCAAACACATTACTGTTTATGTTTTGTCTGTTTCATATGCATGAGCCACATGCCTGTAACCAGAAAACAAAATGTCCACTCCTAACAAGAATGATAACGTTTTGAACTTCAACGTGAACAATCCTAAAATATGGTATAAGCTGTCAAACTACTACGTCATCAAGTCAGGATAGAACTAGACCAACCAGTTGAAATCTCCTCCTCCACTCTTTCATAAGAGGCTTAAGTCACTGAGTCACCCTATCATTCTAGTGTTTCTATGTCTGCCTTTGTCTTTTCTAACTGTTATAAACAGGACCGTCTGACAAGTAGGCCTACAAGGTAGAGAAAAAAAAGTGAAGCGCTAAGTTACACAATAGTAGATTCATAGACATAAGGTGCTCTTTAGTAAAAGGGGTAAATTGGTCATCAAAAAGAAAGGAGGACCAAGGCACTCTTCATATAATTAATTCAAATGCCTTTATTTTTATGGCATGTTCAATGGAAACAAAGTTGAAAAACTGACGCGTTTCGGCTGCATGGCCTTCGTCAGGGATAGGCCTACAAGGTATTAAGCAGTGTTCACATTAGCAGTTTGAAGTGACCAAAAAATTATAATAATTTGCCTATCCGATTCGAATCTGTTCTTTTTCAGAAGTCTGAACAGCCAAAAAGCACATGGAATCTGATACATTTCCTAGGTGGTTTGAAGTCAGATACAAATCAGATTCCTGGCCATGTGACTTGTCTGAACAGTCAAATCTGATTTATTTGCCCTCAAGTAGTTTAGACTTATTTGGCATATCTTGTTGCTTGCTAGCTACTCTTGACAGTATGACAAGAACATGTGGTAGCCAATTAGCTTGTTAATTGTTTACAAACAAATTAGTGAATGTGCTAGAAAGCTAAAGAGCTACCTAGCTAGCTGACTGCCTTGGCTAGCCAATAAGGACTTGTTTTGAAAGTTGGATCATCTTATCCTTTGAGGCTTTAAAAGTGTTCTTACAATATGATTTTGAACATTCAAAGCAACTGGGAACTGTCAATGGAAGGCATTGTTGTAACTTTAGCTGGCTACATAACTTCTGGGTGATAGGAAGCACGAGCACCACCAATACCACTGTGCACACACCCATCATTACCATGACAACTAGCGTAGCCATGTCAGAAATTGACTGCTGTCTGAACACACAAATCCGATTTGGTCACTTGTAACTTGCTGTGGACAGTCAATATTCCAAAACAGTAAAACTAAACTGATGAGCATTAAGGCATGCAGTGTGAACAAGGCTTTAGTTACCGTATCAACAGAACAGGAACACCACTATGGAAACAAACAAAGAAAGGTGTAGGCCAGGCTGCGAAACTGACAGGGGTGGGCCTGCAGCATTCCTCTACAGTTTATGACTGAAACTCGTATCTAGAGGCTCGTAGTGAGGCATCATGGGATTGGATTTGTTCCATAACTGCTATGGTTTTATAACATTTTATTTTGCTTGAAGAGATAGTTCACCCAAAGTACAAAATTACCTATTTGTTTCCGTAGCATTTTCTAACCAAAAAAGTCTAAGTACTGTGAAAGAGATTGTGAAGCTCAATGACTTGTATTTTACTGTTATTAGCGCAGCTGCTGGCAGTGGCTAGGTAAACAAGCCTTAAGCGTGGATTGCAGTCTCTCCTTGTCCATAGACTGCTTTCAAGGTAAGGACACAAATATGTAATTTGGAGAGATTCTATTTTTGTCCGCTCATTCAGAAGTAATAAAAGGCCCAGTACACAAATAATTAAAATAATGTTTTCCCCAAAAATATTCTTACTACATTTTTCTATTTATCAGGGGGTGCTGCAGCAGTCTCAGCACCACTACTTCCTGCAGCTATGCTGGGTGAGATGGTTTTATTGAAAAGGCATTCATCACAACCCTTTATTGCTCCTTATACCCCAGTGAAACTGTAAGCTAACAACTTTTCCACTTCTACAATCTCTATAGAGATAAGACAGAGGTTCTTATTAACTGTTGTTTTGGGTGTCACCATTCCTCCCTAGTGACTGCTGTACACTAATGATCCAGACCTTGGCTCCTATTCATAGTGTTAGTGACACACACACAGTAATAAAGCTAGCTAATTGCGCAGCGTTGTGCTTCCACCCATAACAGCAGTCAAGATGAAGCTATCTTGCCGTTTATGTGTTCTGTTTTACCACACCTCTGTGGTCCTCTGTAGCTCAGCTGGTAGAGCACGGCGCTTGTAACGCCAAGGTAGTGGGTTCGATCCCTGGGACCACCCATACACAAAAATGTATGCACGCGTGACTGTAAGTCGCTTTGGATAAAAGCGTCTGCTAAATGGCATATTATTATTAGTCACTTTTTCGGTATCCATTGTCCCTTTGATGTCAGTCTGTCAGCATGGCCCTTTTCCACACAGAGAAAGCAGCTATGTGCAGCTTCTGGGTCCGTATTCATAAAGCATCTGAGTAGGAGTGCTGATCTGGGAATAGTTTAGCTTTTTAGATCATAATAAATAAGATTATATGGACAGGTGGGGGCCAAATCACTCTTACTCAGAGTCTGAGACGCTATGAATACGGCCTTGAATCTTTCACAATTGTCAGTGGAATGCCAGCAAGGTTTAGATTTGCATGCCATGTCACTGATATGAGTCAGCTATCATTGGGGCCAGGGGTTTGTCCTAAACGGGATGATATTGCGTGCACTTTAGCCAACAGAAAACTGTGGCTAAATTTCGCCATTGATATCCTACATGAGTTCACATCCTATATCACCCACATCATAATTCACATCCAGACCTGGGTTACTTTGAAATAATTTCAAATACTTTATCTGTGCCCCTTTGAGGTTGTCTGGCTTAATAAACAAATATAATAGTTCAGAAACTACAAACCCTGCCCATCTGGCACTCTGGGCAGACTCAAGCAAACACTCAAAGTAAGTCTAGTTCATTCCTTACAAATCACCTACATCCTACACAATCAGTCAGTTTATCCTACATGAAAGGTGAGTTACCTGAGGGAGGCGGCTGCCGGGGATGCTGGGAAAGTCGTGGTGCTCCATGTGGTAGCCCACGTTAAAGGTGATATAGTTGAGCGGCCCGTAGTAGGAGTACGTCTCGATCCCGCTCAGGTACATGTAGTGTTCGGCGATAAAGTGCCCCGAGATCGGGTGCAGTCCCATACACAACAGCGAGCCCGCTATCAAGTAGACCAGAGGCCTAAGCCCCCAGAGGTACACTATGAAAGCATCGAAGGCTAGCTGCACCATTAAATTCAACAGCTCAAGCCTGCCTACGGGCTTGGGGTTGACCACCAGGGGGCGCAGCGCGTAGAATAGCGGCTGCAGGAAGAGCCACAGGATCTTGCGGGCGGGGGAGCTGAAGAGACGAGCCTCCAGGCGGGTCGGGACATCCACGTCAAGCCCGTGGCCGCCCAGGTAGCGGTGGTGGTCCACGTGGTACTTCTTGAAGCTGATGGAGTAGGGCACGCCAATTGGTAGGTTGGCGAAGATGCCAAAGAGGCGGTTGAGCATAGCGTCCTTATTGCCGAAGGCCACATTGTGCGAGATGTCGTGGATGGCGAGCGTGAGGGAATGGTTGATGCAGCCGCCGAACATGTAGGCCCAGAAGATGAGCCACTTCCAGCTGAGGTCACGAACCAGGAAGCAGCAGAGCACCTGGGTCAGGACCATGGCTGTCACCACCCACTTGAGCTGGGGGTCAGGGCCCATCAAGGACTTGATCTCCGGGTGCTTGGCTGTGGAGAGGGAGGAAAGGAGGAGGGGGTGTAAAAAAGAAAAGAATGGAGACAAATTGAGGTACAGTATAACTTTTACACTGGTCGTGACAGACTTAACATTATAATGCAGCTGATTTGAGTAGATGACTTGGCAGATAGAAATACTCATTGATTCCTTATTTATAGTGTAATGACATCTAAACAGGGCTGTTCAATTCCTGTCCTGGAGGGCCGAAACACTTCTGGTTTGGTTCTACCAGTTAGTTAATTGCACTCACCTGGTGGCTAGGACCAGAAATCAGTCCCTTATTATAAGGACAGAATGAAAACCAGAAGTGCTTTGGCCCTCCAGGACCGACATTGAACAGCCCTTTATCTTCCTGTCTGGTCTTGCACCCCCTCAGGCTCGTGCGGTGGAGGAGATCTTCGTGGGCTATACTCAGCCTTGTCTCAGGGTAGTAAGTTGGAGGTCTGTTGATATGCCTCTAATGGTGTAGGGGCTGGGCTTTGGCAAAGTGTGTAGGGTTATATCCTGCGTCCCCCGTCTCAGACTCCAGTATCTATGCTGCAATAGTCTATGTGCCGAGGGTCTGTTATATCTGGTGTAATTCTCCTGTCTTATATGGTGTCCTGTGTGAATTTAAGTATGCTCCCTCTAATATTCTCTCTCTCCCCCTCTCCTCCCGGAGGACCTGAGCCCTAGGACAATACTTCAGGTCTACCCGGCCTGATGACTCCTGGCTGTCCCCAGTCCACCTGGTCGTGCTGCTGCTCCAGTTTCAACTGTTCTGCCTGCGGCAATGGAACCCTGACCTGTTCACCGGACGTGCTGTTTTAGACTCTCCCTACAGCACCTGCTGTCTCGACCTCTGAATGCTCGGCTATGAAAAGCAAACTGACATTTACTCCTGAGGTGCTGACTTGTTGCACTCGCTACAACCACTGTGATTATTATTTGACCCTGCTGGTCATCTATGAACGTTTGAACATCTTGAAGAACAATCTGGCCTTAATGGCCATGTACTCTTATAATCTCCACCCGGCACAGCCGGAAGAGGACTGGCAACCCCTCAGAGCCCGGTTCCTCTCAAGGTTTCTGCCTTTCTAGGGAGTTTTTCCCTAGCCACTGTGCTTCTACATCTGCATTGCTTGCTGTTTGGGGTTTTAGGCTGGGTTTCTGTATAAGCACTTTGTGACATCTGCTGATGTAAAAAGGGCTTTATAAATAATTTGATTGGATGATAAAATGTTGTACGTTTAAAATCAGAGTAATCTCAGAGACACACTGGCCAACAGAACCATACGATGATTTACATCTGTACAATGGGCTAAACACACATCAGAATTACAGGACTGCATTTTAGGAAATAAACTTAAAGCTAACTAATAGGATGAATATTTGTCTGTGTAGTGCCTCAGAACCAGATGGCCAAAATCCTACAAATCAAGAACCTCCCATTCAAAAGTAGTTTCTGCATTTCCTCGTCTTGACCCAGAGTTGCCCACTACTTGGCAGGGAAAACTTGTCTTACTTGTCAAACAGGTGGTTGCACCTGTTTCGGTCTTGGCTGTATCCTCTGCTTCTAAGACAATATTTACTAGGCTACAGATATCAGGAGGAATACACCAGTAGTATGTCATGTGGCAAGAAATCAAAATACCTGGTAAACTATAGATTATCACTCAAGTGGTCATTGATGTAGGATATGAATGACGGTGATCGCTCTACATCACCATTGCATGGGAATGGCGTCTTTCTGGTGGTACAACATGATTAGGCTTCATTGAATTAATGAGTAAATCAATGAAAACATGTATCACCAATGGTAAAAAAAAAAAAAAAAAGGTGATTAATAAAAAGTTTACATATTAGAGACTCCTTATGTAAAGGCTTATCCATATTGTGAAATGTATATAGCCTAGTGTTTAGACAGTATGGCTAAGCCTGTCGGATTTTACAGGAGTAAGCAAGGATTTATCGCATTCAACAAGACAACAAAATAACCTTCCTTTGGCCAATGTATTTTTGAGTATTAGGCTATTGATACGGACGTAAGAGAATGGGCTGCTTACCTAGTATCTGCTTCCTCCGACTACAGTGCGGTTGCTCCGTATAGACCCACTCGAAGTCATCCCTCGTTACCGTGTTCCCCATATCTTGCTCGCGGTAGGACTATCTGCCAGTTCCCCGAGCTGTTATCAAAAAAAAAAAAAATACGGAGTAGAGACAAACAGTCCGCCTGTACAAGAAGGTGGCGGAAAAAGAAGAGGAAAGAGGCAAGTTGTTCGTACCGAACACCCCCTGTCCACAGGTAGGCTATAAGGCCATTCAGGCGACACGCCTAACTAAGTGGGCGCACTTTCACGACAGTTGGTTATACAGGTAACTGCCAGAATAGTGGAAACATTTGAGTAAACGAGGGATACAAAGTATATTGAAAGCAGGTGCTTCCACACAGGTGTGGTTCCTGAATTAATTAAGCAATTAACAACCTATCATGCTTAGTGTAATGTATAAAATGCTGGGAATGTAATTATTTTGTCTACCATGGCTATGCTCTCATAGGATGACAATTCCCCCAATCACAGTGCATTAGTGGTCACTGAATGGTTTGATGAGCATGAAAATGATATAAACCATCTCAGTTACCAGATTTCAACTCAGTCGAACACTTAAGGGAGATTCTGGAGTGACGCCTGAGACAGCATTTTCCACCACCATCAACAAAACACCAAATTATGGAATTTTCCGAGGAAGAATGGTGTCGCTTCCTTCCAATAGAATTCCAGACACTTGTAGAATCTATGCCAAGGTGCATTGAAGCTGTTCTGGCTCGTGGTGGCCCAACGCCCTATTATGACACTTTATTTTGTCAGTTACCTGTATATCAACACCTGTTATTCGAACGCAGTTCATTTGTCACCACAATAAATTAAGGTTTCTCGATTCAACATGTGATGATTGTTGGTAGGCTATTGGCTAATACGGACCTGGTCACATTTGATGATCATAATTCGAATTGAAATGATTTGAAACACAATTGAAAATGTTGACAACAGGAATATTTTTCATAGGAAATAGTTATCACAGCAAAAAGTGTAATAATTCCCTTCAAAATTAATATGCGTGTTTTACAATGTGTTTCATCCTTTTTCGACCACATAGGGGGGTTATAGGCTTACGTCTTACTTCATTCATGAGCCAAGAGATAGATCCACAATAAATACTTTATTAGTATAATTAATATGGTTTCCAAAAGATGGTGATTAAATATGTGCAGTAAAACTTTAAGGCATCTCAGTAATAAACTATAATACCACTTATTTTAAAGCAAATGAAGGAAAAAAGAAAAGAAAAAAAAGATGACCTTTTATAGTGCCCAGTGAGTGACTGTCATGTTATTCCTCATGCACATCTAAAATATTGCTCACAAACAAAAGGCCTTGCAAGCTATGGTGAATATTTTGTAGCATACAGCAATTCCCTCACCAAAATCCGGTATTATTCTCTTGCATGCTTCACTGTCCAAAGGAACATATTAGGCCTATATGATTTAACATGGCTTACATAACAGCAAGGTGCATAGCATTTTGTCAGTATGATCTACAGCTACCACAGTATACATTTTGTGGATTTAAACCAATAGCCTTGCGATTATTAATTGGCAATACTGTACTCCTCTAACCAGAATAGCAAACTTTCGTTCATACCATTGCCTTCCTTGTGCCCCATTGCCCCCGAACATGTATTCTTAGTATACATCATCTATCCTAACACTGGTTCAAGGCTTTACGTGTGGCTTGCTGACGCAGAGCCTTCCTACAACCTACACAGCCTTGATGTAGGAAGGCTCAGCATCAGCAAGCCCTGGACCAGAGCTAAGTGTAACCTTACAATCCCAGAAAACTTTATTAAACACACGACCTCCGATCTCTCTGTCCTTAGCCTTCAGTCAACGTTTGCTTGGTATTGTACTGTAGATGTTATCTATGTATTCCAAACAGGCCCATCTAAAAGCATGTCTACATCAGAGCCTGTAGTGCAACAAATGCCTATCACATTCAACACAATCCACTCTTAGATGTATAGATACAAAGTAAACCACTAGATGGTGCTGTTAAAAAGTCATTACTGGACATTTGTACGCCATTAATATTGGGCAAAATGCACCAATAACGTCCAGGTGGGCTGGAGAGTGTGTGTTTACGGAGTGGACTGATTGACCCTCTGGCTCACTCAAACCAGCAATGTCTCTTTGCTGTGGTGTCTTCTTTGTTTTCTGAGCTCGCTTTTACCTCAGTACGCTCAGAGATATAAGTGCCCACAATGTGACACTCAGACAGCAACAGGCATCCATTGGTAGTCCAGGAGGAGATGTCCTTCATTTAAATCTTTCTATACCTCCCCATTCATTTTAAGCTAGTGACAGTCCTTAGCTTTCCCATGGCTATCCCACTGCTCCAAGTTCCCAGTTACCCCATTCATGCCCAGCACTCTGCTCACTCTTCATTTTATACATGGGACAAGTGCAATGAGTATAGCATTCGCTTTAACACCCGCCCACCATACTGGCTCAAAACTCTCTCACTCAGAGATACTGTAATAGGACTCTGTGGTGGATGCAGAGCAGCATCATGCTGATGCCCCTCTACAGTGAGTTCTGTCCACTTCACGTTAAGCCCATTTCATCCCCAGCCTTCATCCCTCCAGCCATGTGGTGCTCCTGTCCTGTTAGCCGAGGGGGTGTTTGGGGGAAGGGAGCAGCTGTAGCGTAGGGGGTGACACATCTGGGTCGCCCCTCGATCCCAAGAGGGGGGAGGGGGGGGGGGGGGGGGTGGTCAGGAGATCTCAGTACAGCAGTGTCTGTCCCAGGCTTGGAGCTCTCCCCCCACCGCACACACCAACAAGTAGGACTCACTTCTCTCCTGTGGCCAGCGCACCTGAGAGAGAGGGTGAGAGGGTGAGAGGGAGGGAGGGAGGGAGGGAGAGGGTGAGAAGAAGATAGAGGAGGAGAGAGAGAGAGAGGAGAGGGAGGGAGGGAGACAGAGAGAGAGCATAAAGGGGGAGAGGTGGAGAAAGAAACATGGAGCCATTGTGGGAAGGAGGGGGAGAGAGCGCAACAGTGTAAAGAGGGAGAGATGCAGTCATATAGTCATTTTATCATCAAGTATATGGGTATGGCAAATGGCAAATGGCACCCTATTCTCTATATAGTGCACTACTTTTGACCAGACCCTATTGTCCCTGGTCAAAAGTAGTGCACTAAATAGGGAATAGGGTATAATTTGGGACGAAGGCATAATTTCCGGTCCCCATGTTTTAAATCTCCTACCCTGTGAAACAGCAGCAGGTGGCGGTGGAGAGGGATCACCAGCGGGTAGTGACAGGCAGGGGGCGAACTCTTCCCCTGAAACACACTCATAGTCAGGAACTGAACAGGATTGCAGGCCAGGGTACAGATGCAGTCTTTTATGTGTGCGAGTCACAGCACAGCACAGCACAGCATGCCGCACTTGCCTGGGTCAAAATCCGTGAGAGAAAGGCAGACACAAAATAAATTCATTGACCCTGGAGATGAGGAGGACTCGTTATTTCAAATGAATGCAGTCAAATATATCTCCCCAGGCGAGTGTGGCATGCTGTGCTGTGACTTGCCCAAAAAAGACTGCATCTGTAACGCTTTATTTGGATAGTACAGTTATCCACTAACTCTCGCCCTACCCCTAACACTAGTTGTAGATCAGCAAGGCGTATAGACCAGCAAGTTGTAAACCATCTATAGAGGACTATCCAAATAAAGTGGGACACATTGCAGGAGCATAAATATGGGTTGGGTGTGAGTGGGGTAAGGGCTTGCTACCTCTATATCCCCATGGAAATGTACACACATTCTCTTTATATACCCCAAATAAGGCCAATGTTAGTTGCTAAAACAAGATGTTTCCAAACTGACCGAGCAGACAGCCAAACAGGTTGTTTGTTTGCCCTCAGAATGTTTTTGATCGTCTTAGAAAGAGAGAAAGAGAGAGACAGAGAGTAAGAGAGAGAGAGAGAGAGAGAGACGTTGAGAGAGAGAGACGGAGAAGAGAGAGAGAGAGAGAGATAGAAAGAGAGAGAGAGAAGAGAGTAAGATAGCTGGGATTAGATTATGTATTCGATACTTATATCATTTAGTCATAGTATCTATTATCATTATCTCTCTCTCTACTTCTCTCTCCTCTCGTCTCTCTCTATCTCTCTCTCTTGCTATCCTAATTTCGGTTTTAGTCTCTAGTCTCACTTCTCGTTCTATCTTAGCTCCATTCATATTTGTCGTATATCTCTGCTCTCTCTGCTCATGCCTAATCTCTCCTCGTCTCTCCCTCTCTATCTTCTCTCTCTCTCTCTCCTCTACTCGCTCTCTTTCTTTCTTCTCTCTCTCCTCTCTCTCTCGCTCTCTCTCGTCCCTATCTCGCTCTCCTCTCTCTCTCCGCTCTCTCTCTCTCTCTCTCTCTCTCTCTTTTTCTTCTCTACGTCGTACATTCCTTCCACTCTTCCCGCTACCCACAGTTGTGAAGGCAGAGAAAGAGACGAAGGGCAGACACGCAGTTCTGTGATTGGAGAAGAGAGAGGTACATTACAACAGCCCAAAGCTGGGTTTCCCAAAAGCATCGTAGCACTAAGATCTTCTTAATTCCATTGAAACTAAATGGACGAAAGACGATCATAGTGCGACAATGCTTTTGGGAAACCCAGCCCAAGAGAGCAGGGGCCTGTTCAGGAGGGTGAAAAGTTACAGGAATGTTCAGATATAAATATATTGTGTAGAACAGATATGGTTGTCTGTCACCCAGAATTGGGGAACAGCTCTATCGTGTCAGCCCAGCTAGCACATAACATTCTGAGAACCATACTGTATGTTTCTTAGAGTTTGGTGAGAGTGTGGTTGTCCTATGGTTATTTTGCAGACAACCTTCCCACAACATTCTGGGAATGGTGCAGGATACCCCGCTAGCACATAACGTTCTGAGAACCATATGTTTCTTAGGTGGGAATTTCAGTACTTCAGCATAACAATTTCTACAGGTTTCCTCAAGGTTCTATTTAAAGTAATGTTCTCAGAACATTAAGAAAACTTTCCATAAGAACCACAAGAAAACATTAGTAACGTTCAAAGAAAGTTCTAAGAATGTTATTTAAAAACAAATACATTCCACTCTCAGCATCAACAAAACTCTATCTATCCTCTATCTTGTTAAGTATGCTCAGGTGTGTTGGCTACGCCCACTAATTGGCCACACCTGATCTTGATGAGTGCTTGTTTGAATAGACTTAAATGAACAGCTTGGTATAAGTACAAAAAACATGGCATGCTAGCTCCATCCTGGTGGCGCAGTAGACTAATTCCATGGATAGAGAACAAGAAGATCATAGGTTCAAATTTCACTAATGCCAAGCCACAATGAAAATAAATGTGTTTGCATGATTAATGCCTTAGTACACATGGAAATTAATTTGCTATCTGTGCTTGGAGTTCAAAACAGTTAACCCAAACAGTGTTATTTAAAGTCTTCCCAAGTGGCGCAGCAGTCTAAGGTGTCATTACAGACCCGGGTTCGATCCCAGGCTGTGTTGCGACCGGGAGACCCATGAGGCGGCGCACAATTGGCCAGCATCGTCTGGGTTAGGTGAGGGTTTGGCCAGCCAGGATGTCTTTGTCCCATCGCGCTCTAGCGACTCCTCGTGGCGGGCTGTGCGCATGCATGCTGATTTCAGTCGCCAGTTTCCTCCGACACATTGGTGCGGCTGGCTTCCGGGTTAAGTGAGCAGTGTGTCAAGAAGCAATGCGGCTTGGCAGGGTTGTGTTTCGGAGAACGCATGGCTCTTGACCTTCACCTCTCCCGAGTCCATACGTTAGTTGCAGCGATGGGACAAGACTGTAACTACCAATTGGATATCATTAAAAAGTAATAAAAAAATAAAAAAAAGTCTTATTGAAGCATGTTCTCAGAATGTTATTTAATTATCTTCAAATAATGTATAATTTCCGTTCTCAGAACGTTAATAAAACCTCCCAGAAAAACTTTCAGGGAACCATAGTAAAACGTTCTCAGAACCTCCCTGCAACCCAAAAATGTACATTCCCAGAACAGGCAAAATTTTCACTTCCGTTCTCTGAATGCTTAAAAAACATTCAGTTTTACCAGTCAGGAAACATATGGCTTCGTTCCCAGAACCAATGGGAAACCAAAAACGTAAGTTCCCACAACTTCCAAGTAGCCAAATGTGCTAGCTGGGAGCTCTATTCCTCATGACATTTCTATCTGCAACATTCCACAATGTTTAGCTACTGAACGTGGCCCAGGACTGAGTAGCTGCACTGTTGCAGGTGACTGTTTTGGGTGGGTGCACTGCTGACGAGCTAGCTGTGAAAGTCACAACAACAACAAAAACAAAAACAATTTCAGCAGGAGTGATTGCGTGAGTGAATGGGTGTGTGGAAGTGAGAGAGAGAGAGAATGTGATGAAAATGGAGTGATTGGAAAGGGCGTGAGGCATTGCCAGTATTTCTTGGAAACCTTTTAAAGGTACAGTACGTAGATATGTTTATTATTTCATTAACAATGTTGTTTCCCCTGTAAACAAGCTAGCCGGTCCTGTTTATCTGCTTGTCAACAGCACCTGTCCTCTGGTGCATTCTGGGAGTTGGAATCCTCTAAGGGACTGACTGCATCCATTCCTCCATCCAGACATCCATCCATTAAAAACCTATCCTGAAGGAGACCCCTAACACTGCATCTTTAAAAGGGTCATTACGCTGTATTGATTTATAGCGAGGGAGGGCCAACGGCTGCATACCAGGCCTATTCTTAGAGGGGATATTTATCGTTCTGACCAAGGGCTCCAACATAAGCAGATGCTGCTCGGTGCTCCTGCTATGCAACACTATTTTTTCACAGTATGTGGCTCATATGGTCTGGAAATCCTACCATCTCACATTTGTGTTGTTAGACACTGTTGCCTGTGAAGAGATGCTATAGCACTTATAGATGTCTATAGGATGAGGTAATGCTGCTACACAATTCCAGGGTTGTGTTCATAAGGCATCAAATGTATGAAAATGGAGTGAAAAAGGGAGGGACTAGCTGGATTTTTCCAATAAGAAAAGCTCATTTTAGTTTTCCGTTGCAAAACTGTTTTTAAAGTTTTCAATTGTGTGCCTTAATGAACACAACCCAACCTTCTCTTACTGAACTTGATGAGAGAGGCCACAGGTCAAAAGTTCAAAACGGATGGAAAAGAAACCCAAGGAAGGATGATCGAACAGGCAATGATTCATGTATGAGGTTTTTTTTGAAGAGGAGATGAGGAGGGATGAGTGCTGGGTCCCTTGCCTGTCTCCTTGGGGGACTTCAGGCCCTGGATCTCCCCCCTCAGTCTCTCCATCTCTTTCTCCAGCTCTCCGTTCCTCTTCTCTGCCTCCTGCAGCCGCCTACGTAGATGATTGGATTGATTGGTCAGCTTTGAATACAAGGGCTCTGGTATTGGCTATGAATACTCACCTAAATATCAAATGGCATCATTACATTATAGCTAGTATTAGCTACCTATAATATACATGTATGTACAGTACCTAGAAGTCAGAGCTACCCATATGTCTGCTGAGTCTGTCAAGTATGAAAGGGAAAGGTGAGGGAGACCCATTTTTAGCAGTAAAGGAATACTGCAATAAAAGCATAGGCATCCACCTGTGTGTGCCTAACAATGTTTGTACCATGTTTGTGCTGCTGCCATGTTGTGCTGCTGCCACGTTGTGTTGTTGTCTTAGGTCTCTCTTGATGTATTGTTGTGGTGTCTCTCTTGTCGTGATGTGTTTTGTCCTACTTTTTATTTTTTTTATCCCAACCCGCGTCCTCGCAGGAGGCCTTTTGCCTCTTGGTAGGCCGTCATAAATGTTTAAAAAAAGTTACCAAAAAATATACATTCTGTGTCTGTCTGTCTGTCTGTCTGTCTGTCTGTCTGTCTGTCTGTCTGTCTCACTCAGGAGTGATCTAACCTGTGCAGATCCTCATCAAGTACTGAATTCTGGTCCTTCTCCTCCTCTTCCTCCTCTGTCGTTGTGTGAGTGGACTCTGCAGTACCCTGCTCCAATGCTAGGGGGAGCTCAAGCAGGGCAGGCAGGTTGTCAGGCGTTGTCAGGACATCTCTGAGCTTCCACATCTGACTCTGAAAGCCCACACCACCCCCTTCAGTGTTAGACATACACGGTCTGATAAAGGTAAACATAGTGTAGCCCTCAGCGTCAGTGGAGGCTGCTGAGGGGAGAACGGCTCATAATAATGGCTGGAACAGAGCCAATGGAATGGCATCAAACACATCAATAAACCATGTGTTTGATGTAGTTGATACCATTCCACCTATTCCGCTCCAGCCATTACCACGAGCCATCCTCCCCAATTAAGGTGCCACCAACCTCCTGTGCTCAGCATAACCTGATCTAGCAGCCGTTATTATTTATTGCATGCCTAACTGTTTGACACATGCCACAAAACACATTCAAGATGCAGCTAGCTCAGGAAGCGCTAAGCATTTTTGTCACAGCTGACTGACACACGAGATGAGGAAAGCAGTTAGCATTCCTGCATAAACAAATGGAAACATATGTGTAACAGAGTGGGAGTCCCAACCTACAGCTAACTGTAAGTCGCTCTGGATAAGAGCGTCTGCTAAATGACTAAAATGTAAAATGTAAACTAGCTAGCGGTTCCACATCGGTTACCCGACTACTCAAATTGTCCTTAGTAGCCAATCTAGCAGTTAGCATTCTAGTCTTGATTGTTAAAACTTAACTCAGCTAGTTGTTAGTGTGGATAGTCAACCTACCAGCTTATCCTGGAAATTGAAGCTTGGCAACCCATGGTGTCGCTGGTGGTCAATCTCCATCATGATGTCACGACTGCGATCCAAGGCACCTGTCTGTCTGTAAGAGATACAAAAAAAGACAAAAATAGAACAAAATACAAAAAAAACATTAAAACTGTTTTGACATAGTTTTGTATGATACCCCATTAATTTAGGGTACTTTGATACTGAGACAGTATATGATATGAATGTGACCTTGTAGCTGTGTAGGAGTAGCCAACGAAAGCCAGGTGAACTCCGATAGGGGCCTTGTCCATAACATCACTCAGTGTTTCCTGTTGGACAAAAGACAGCATTACAACTAGAGTGCATTATATGCATCTCAGGTATATGTTATCTGCTATATTTGCTTTTCAGGCTTGCTTCTGGAGCCATGTAATATTTTATGGAGTCCCTCAAGGCTCTATATTAGACTCCTTTACATTTGAATGGATTGTATATAGATTGTAGATTGTATATTGGCTTTTCGGATTAATACCATTTCACTGAGGCAGTCGTCCAACACGTCAAAGTTGGAGGTGTCAGTGGCGTTGGAGACTTCAGGTTGGAAGGGTGCTGGAAGTTCATGCAGGGAGCCCCAGTCTAGTCCACAGAAGAAGGGGTGGGCCCTAAAGTCCCCAGAACCCCTGGCTCCCATACGATCCTCCCTCTCGCAGATCAGCCCCATGATGAGGGAACGGGCCTCATCTGAAACCTCGGGGCCAGACGGGGGGAACTCAAAGTGCTCCTGGGGGGACAAAATGGTTGGTTCCTCTTAGTTCTTCAGAGTTCTTTAGGTGTGAGACCAATATATACCTCTTTGCACTCCTTGCAGATGTATAAGAAAATGGTCACAAAGATCACTATGGACCAATCCCAAATTGACCCCTAAACCCTATGACCTATGCACTTGCAGAGATCTGATTGGTTTTGACAGGTGTAAGCAATTTTGTAATAGCTCTACCTTGCCCTCTGATAGGTAGACGATAGGTGGAAGCTAGGTGGAAGTTTCACCATATTGCTTTTACTAATCTAAGATCTCCACAACTGTAGGGTTTATGGGTTGATTTGGGATTGTACCCTAGTCCCTATTGAATATTAGCTCTTGTTCAACATCCTTCCCTCCTCGTATTTCCTGACTATTTTCACCGATATCTACAGAAACATATGGAAAATGTTCTGATGACCCTCAACATGTTCTCTTGATCAATCTGTCAAATTAGTTTCTGTCTTAAGTCACCATCGTACCTGGAAGTTCATGATCTTGGCGTAGGTCTCAGAGATGGACTCTGCGTAGAAGGGTGTGGTCCCCTGCAGCATCTCATAGGCACAGATCCCCAGGGCCCACCAGTCACACTCAGGGCCATAGCCTCCCCCTCCCTCCACCGCACGCAGGATCTCTGGGGACAGGTAGTCGGGTGTGCCCACCGCCAGGGAAGAGTGCACCTGCAAATACACAGACACATGTCAACACACACAAATGCATTTACAAAAGTAGAATTCTATCCTTGGGATGCAACATGTTCACGTTATAGAAAAGAGAAACCTGCCCTCACTGAAAGTAGTATTTAGATTTCAAATTGTAGCAGCAGAGGTCGCACACTGTCACACAATAACACACAGAGGAGTGCACCTTTGTGTAACCGAGGTGGTCTGGTGAATAAGTATAACCCTGCCTGAGACCTAAAGACTTGCGTTAGCTCCCTGAGCCTTGGCTTTAGCTTGAAGGGCTTACACAGCCTTGTGACTCACAGTAGACCCAGGTTCGATACCCAGTCTGTTACTTTTACACAACAGTATTGTGGAGTGAATTGTGAGTGTTTTGTGGCCCTTTGGGGCCTCTCACCATGCCATCCTCTTGGACCCTCAGACAGGAACCAAAGTCCCCCAGTCTGACGTGGCCCTCTGCCGTCAGCATGATGTTGTCAGGTTTGATGTCCCTGCAGAGGGGAGAGTGAAGGATGCAAATCTGACTATGCGCATTCACAGGTCTGAACATTATTCTTCCTGTTGCCAGGTCATCTATATGGGATTTCATAGCTAACGTTCCCATGGTTCTACACTGGATGGACCAAAATTAAACCAGTAGATGCAGTAGATGGTCCACACTCAAAAAAGAGAGTTCTCAAGTTCTGTTAATCTTATTTATTCATCCATTCCAGAGTCAACAAACATTCTCGGAACCTCCCTTGTAGGTGCTCCAAAGTAAGGAACAGTGTTCCCCGTTTTCTTTGAAAATGTATTCCAGAAAAAAATTCTGAACATTAGGGCGGTATTCTAGGAACACCACAAATTGTTTGCTGGAGGTTGTCATGTTGCCGGGTGTCTCTGACCAACTAACCTGTGCACATAGCCCATCCTGTGGATGGAGTCGATGGCCATGACCATCTCAGCCAAGTAGAACTGGGCCATGTCCTCAGGGATACGGTCGCCAAACTTACTGAGCAGGGTCAACAGGTCACCACCCACGTAGTAGTCCATCACCAGGTACTGAGAGAGCGAGAGTGAGACAGAGTGAGAGCGAGAGAGATAGAGAGAGCGAGAGCGAGAGAGATAGAGAGAGAGAGAGAGAGAGAGAGAGAGAGAGAGAGAGAGAGAGAGAGAGAGAGAGAGAGAGAGAGAGAGAGAGAGAGAGAGAGAGAATGTAAAAGGAGGGAGATGGTGGCAGTGAAGAAGACAACATGAAGAGAAAGAGAGATGAAATGTATTACCCCATGGTGTATTTCGAGGGAAAGAAACTGAGGGATGTGACTGAATCACTCCAGGTAGACTGCAGTCAGATGTGAAGGCCGAAATTACCCTGATATTGGCGATTTGTCACTGATACCCACCAGGTAATTGTCGTCCTGGAAGGCATAGTGCAGCTCTGTGATCCACCGTCGATCACCCTTCAGCAGAACCTCTCTCTCCTCCTGGTAACAAGCTGTCTACAGGACACACACAGACACACAGAGATGCAACACAGAGAGACAGATGGCCTCACATTCCAGCTAGCACATTTGGTTCCTTGGAAGTTGTGGGAAAGTACGTTTTTTTGGTTTCCCATTGGTTCTGGGAATGAAGCCATACGTTTCCTGACCGGTAAAACGGAACGTTCTGAGAACGGAAGTGAACATTTCACCTGTTCTGGGTACGTTCATTTTTTGGTTGCTGGGAGGTTCTGAGAACGTTTTACTATGGTTCCCTGAACGTTTTCCTGGGAGGTTTTATTAATGTTCTGAGAACAGAAATTATAGGTTATTTGAAGGTAATTAAATAACGTTCTGAGAACATGTTTCAATAAGATTTTTAATAACACTGTTTGGGTTAACTGTTTTGAACTCCAGCCATAGATTGCAAATTAATTTCCATGTGTCCTAAGGTAGTGTTTCCCAAACCTGGTCCTCAGCATCCCCAAGAGTACACAGTTTCGTTGTAGCCCTTGACAAACACACCTCAGGGAACAATTTGAGAACAGTACTTTAAATAGAACTATAAGGAAACCTGTAGGAAACGTTACGCTAAAGTACTGAAATTCCCACAGAAGAACGTTGTTTCTTAACGTTCTCTGAACTATTTGAGAACATTCCCAATGTCAAACCAGTTGGAGAACGTTCCGAGAACATTACTAAAAATGTAATTAAATGTAACCATGTTTGAACTTCTAGGAAACGTTCTGTTAATGTAATGAAACACCAAGAAAATAAAGTTATTTTGTAAATGTCCTTAAATTTGCTGAGATTGTTCCAAAGCCAAGCAACTATCCTGTACCATTTCCAAAAAGTTGTGGGAAGGGTGTATTGCAAAATAACCATAGGACAACATTCCCAGAACGTTATGTGCTAGCTGCGATGTTGTTTTACAGTAGAAGCAAGAAGCAATAAAGAAGTCGGTTCTAATACAAAATGTATCCGTTGTTATGTGAATAGTAAAACCCACTAAGGACAGATGTTATTTTTTATAAAAGCGTCTGCTAAATGGCATATTAATTTTAATGTCTAGTTTTGAATTACATTTGATTGAGTTGTCAACTAACGCGAATTCTACATGAAAACAAGAAACATTTTAACCATGTCATTGGATTTAGGTTAAAAATAATAAAATAATAAAATATTGTCACATACACCAGATAAGTGCAGTGAAATGTGTTGTTTTACAGGGTCAACCATAGGTTAAAATTCCTTTATGTTGCAAATCCAGTCAGTTTTCCATGTTGATTCAACGTCATCACACGTATTATTTTGTAGTTGAAATGACGTGGAAACAACGTTGATTCAACCAGTTTGTGCCCAGTGGGAAAGTTCCTGTGTGTGTGTGTTTACCTCTCCTCGCTTCAGCATGTCCCACTTATTCATAATCTTCAGGGCGTACACTTGCTGTGTGCTACGCATCCTCGCCACAGCCACCTATAAATACAGCAACACACACGTCACCACGGAGATAAGATTAAATTGTCCAAAGTGCACCTTGACTTTCGGCAGTGTCCTCTCACCTCACTGAAGGTCCCTCGACCAATCACCTTCAAGATGTGGAAGTCATCCCTCTTGATGCGCGTCTTCTTCACCTGCCTCACCAGGGGCTCCGCTGTGATTGGAGGAGAGAGGACAGAGAGGCTGTTGATTTGACGAGAAAATACGAAGTTTTGATTGGACGAGAAAGGAAAGAGGGTGTTTGAAAATAAATGAATGCTAACCAGGGTCAACCTTTGTATGGAGAATATATTTTATACACACACGTCCTCCAAAAGCCCGGAGTAAGGACTAAAGCTAGACACTGTGTTTGTTTATGTATATGGCCGTCATCACACACACAAACATACACTCACACACACACACACACACACACACACACACACACACACACACACACACACACACACACACACACACACACACACACACACACACACACACACACACACACACACACTGTGAACAAGAAGACCTCCGGGCATCCTGGCAAAAGCCGTCTGTTTCCTTTTACTTTTCAAACAAACACTTCCAAGTGTCATGGGTCACCAGCCTCCCATGAAATAGAACCCAGAAACAGCTAACACACACGTATGTTTGTGTGTGGTTGGAGAGACTGTGGCTCAGATGGTAGAGCATGAAGCATGAAGTTTGAAATGCCAGAATTGTGGGTTCAATTCCTGCTAGACCACCATGCTAAAAATGTATCCTCATATGATGGTAACAAGCAGCCAGTTCCCCTTTAAGACACTGGTGGTCTGAAATAGTCTAAGAGTGTGTCTAAGAATAGCTGCCACCATTTAATACTTTTTTAAGGCAAGTTTTCCAGCCCCTTCATTTTCTTTTTTTCTCCACTCCCCTGTCCTGTGGGGAGGAATGCGAGCGAGACCAAGGGGAGTGGGGGGAGAGAGAGAAGCTTCCAGATCCACTCAGCCTTTCAGGCATCTTGTAGAAACAACCGAGTCCTTTGGCTTCCTTGAATGAGTCCCAAATGGCACCCTATTCCATATATAGTGCCCATAGGGCTCTGGTCAAAAGTAGTGCACTATGTAGGGAATAGGGTGCCATTTGGGACGCAGCCATAAACTTCCTTTATAGACTTTTAGAATGGAGCGATGTGCTCGTGCACAGGTGCTGTTATGACTGGCATGTGACTGTAGATTTGGGGAATCTGTCTAGGGTTCTCATCAGGACCAATACCAACAATGTGGACAGCCAATATTGACGCTGTACAAAACCATAATCTCTTTAGCTCATATCAATGCTTTGGAACACGCTAGAATAGTGGATCCCAAATCGTTGCATGCTGTGACCCATCTAAAACTGTTTTCATTGGACCCTCAACACATTTCTTGCGACCCTCCAGATGAATAAGGCAATTTCTGCAACCCAGCCATCAGACCTGGCATGTGCTTTAGCCAGCCTAGAGTACCAGATTGGTGGTGTTTGCACATTTGGGACTATTGTATTGGTTCCATTGTGCCAGGCAAGCTCAATCAATCACAGTGTAGGAACCCACCAGCCTCTCTCTACATGTCAGAGAATGGCTCCGGGGGTGAAGTTTCACACACACACACACACACACACACACACACACACACACACACACACACACACACACACACACACACACACACACACACACACACACACACACACACACACACACACACACCACACACACACACACACACACACCCACACACCCACACCACACACACCACACCACACCACACCACACACACCACACCACACCACACCACACCACACCACACCACACCACACCACACCACACCACACCACACCACACCACACCACACCACACCACACCACACCCACTGGTTGACAGAGAACAGGGCCTGATGGAAAGTATGGTGAGGTGTGTGTGTGTGTGTGGGGGGGGGGGGGGGACGTTGAGAGTCTTTCCTCTCCTCTGCTTGCCCGCCTGTGTTGTTTACCCCAGTCCTTTAATGATGGAACAGTGCCAACCAGCCCAACCAGCACACAGCCTCATAAATGGACATGTCTTTCCTCCAGGGAGATGGAAAGAGACAGAGAGAGGAAAAGAGAGAGACAGAGGAGGGGGTGGGGGTCATGCCTATTGCTATAGGTAGAGGAACTGACTTGTCAAGGTTGGGTCACATCAGGTAAACCCTCCAGTCAAGGTTGGGTCACATCAGGTAAACCCTCCAGTCAAGGTTGGGTCACATCAGGTAAACCCTCCAGTCAAGGTTGGGTCACATCAGGTAAACCCTCCAGTCAAGGTTGGGTCATGTCAGGTAAACCCTCCAGAGTCTGGAGTGACAGATGGGTAAGTTAGGTGACTTTTTTACAGCATCCACACAGCATCCTTTTACTTTTGCAGCATCAATGCACCCCCTCCTCTATTTGGCACCATATAACACAGATCCAGATTGTTGGGGGGATGGTATAATAATGCAAAATACCAATATCATACAGAGGATGAGGAACTATCCCAGGTTGAATACTCGTAGCTCCTCTGTAGCTGCTGACACATGGTCTTTCCATGATATCCCACTGGGCACAGACATCAGTTCAACATCTATTTTTGATTTACATTTGGTTGAGTTGTCAACTAACTTGAATTCAACGTGAAATCAACCAAAAATGTCACAATTTAGATAAAAAGTTGGGTGAAAGAAATATGAAATTCCCTTACGTTTAATTTTTGCAAATCCAATCAGTTTTCCACGTTGATTCAACGTCGTCACATATACACTACCGTTCAAAAGTTTGGGGTCACTTAGAAATTTCCTTGTTTTCGAAAGAAAAGCAATTTTCTTGTCCATTAAAATAACATCAAATTGATCAGAAATACAGTGTAGACATTGTTAATGTTGTAAATGGTTTCAGAAGAAAGTTCTTTGTTTCTGGCCATTTTGAGCCTGTAATCGAACCCACAATTGCTGATGCTCAAGATACTCAACTAGTCTCAAGAAGGCCAGTTTTATTGCTTCTTTAATCAGCACAACAGTTTTCAGCTGTGTTAACATAATTGCAAAATAGTTTTCTAATGATCAATTACCTTTTAAAATGATAAACTTGGATTAGCAAACACAACATGCCATTGGAACACAGGACTGTTGGTTGCTGATAATGGGCCTCTGTATGCTTATGTAGATATTCCATAAAAATCAGCAGTTTCCAGCTACAATAGCCATTTACAACATTAACAATGTCTACACTGTATTTCTGATCAATTTGATGTTATTTTAACAAGAAAATGTCTAAGTGACCCCAAACTTTTTAACGGTAATGTATATATATATTAAAATGACATCGAAACAAAGTTGATTCAGCCAGTCTTTTCCCAGTGGGATATCATGTTACATGATTCATGTAATACATTTGTGGGCAACCATGACGTTGCATCCTCAAAGCGGGAGAAATTATGTTATGTGTTTTCCCTCTCGTTACTTGCAGTCTATACACTGATAGGTCAAAAGGAGAATTAGACTCTAATAAGACATAAAACCCAGACTTAGACACGCATCGCTCTAGTCCTCTTGAACTACGTGCCAACAGGACCGGACACTTGTTTTTTGGGGCGAAAAAGTCTGAATGTGGAAAAGGAGATTATTGGAGCCACAGCTTGTTCCTGTGCATGTTGACTCTGGCCATGTCCCCATCGAACACTCGTCCTGTTATAAGGCCATGTAGGGAGTGACCAGACCAGAGAGATGGGTTGGGATAGAGAGAGAGAGAGAGAGAGAGAGTAGAGAGATGAAAGAAGGAGAAGCGAGGAGAGAGAGATAGAGCGTCGACAGAGTAGTTACGGCAGAGCTAGTCTCGAGAGTTAGTAGAGTTAGAGTTATGAGAGAGAGGAGAGACGAGATACGGCTCCTCGGACATGCGCGCTACGCCGTGCGCTACGCCTCGCTCCGGGCTCGCAGCCAGAGCCGTTCTCGCGCTCTGCGCTCAGCGCGCGTTACGTTTGCTCGGTTCGTTTTCGCGTTCTTTCGCGTTCGGTTCGGCTCGCGCGCGCTCCGCGCTCGCGCGCGCGCGCGCCGCGCAGCTCGCCGCGGCGCGCGCGTCGCGTCTCTGCGCCGCGCCCGCCGTCTCGTTCGCGTCGCGTCGCTGCGCGCGCGCGTCGCGTTCGCGTTCGCCGTTCGCGTTCGCGCTGCGCCGCGCTGCGCGCTCCCCGCCGCGCTCGCCGCCGCGCCTCGCGGCGCGCGTCTGCGCGCGCGCGCGGCGCTCCGCGCGCGCGCGCGCGCGCTAGACAGAGACAGAACAGACAGACGACAGACAGACAGACAGACAGACAGACAGACAGACAGACAGACAGACAGACAGACAGACAGACAGACAGACAGACAGACAGACAGACAGACAGACAGACAGACAGTCAGTCAGTCAGTCAGTCAGTCAGTCAGTCAGTCAGTCAGTCAGTCAGTCAGTCAGTCAGTCAGTCAGTCACGTGAAACTTCATTATTGCAAAACATAGTTGTCCAGACAGAGAAAGCCTCTAAGGTATAAACCGTTGACAGATAATAGGGTTTCCTTGACACTCTGATGCCAGTTTCATCCTTGCTGACTGTGTTAAGCGGAGATTAACGAGATCTAAACCACTCAGCCTACTCTAAGCTAACCTGCTGCATCACTGGTCATCGTTCCACATCCAACACTGTAATCACAGGAGGTTTGTGGCACCTTCATTGCTGAGAATGGGCTCATGTTAATGACTGGAGCGGAATTGGTGGAATGGTATCAAATACATCAAACACATGGTTTCCAGGTGTTTGATGCCATTCCATTTGCTCCGTTCCTACGCATTATTGTGAGCCGTCCTCCCCTCAGCAGCCTCCTGTGACTGTAATGTACCCTCATCCCTCAGCGAGACTGGACACATGCTCAGACCAAAATAGGAACCTCCATCACTGTGACATTTGATACCCCTCGGACACTGGACTAAATCGCACACACACGGAAGCATGTGGACCCACACACACACAAACACACAATTTCGTGTGCACGCACACACAACCACACACACACACACACTCACTCACTCACTCACTCCCATCACATATTTATGAAGTATTTTAAAATATTGTACACTGAGAGTTCATTCAAAAGAGCACAGGAGAAACTAAGTATACTGTAAGCACTGATCTGACATGATATAGACTAGTGGAGGCGATGCGGTGGAACCCTATCTATTGTGTGAGATCAGTGATTACTTCAAGGTAGGGAGGAGGAACAATGTATATACTGGGACATGTATAGCCATATGTGGAATCATTCACCATATGTTACAGCATACAGTATGTAGGACTTTATTAAGAGTTCATTGCCATGGGTGACAAAAGCCAGAGAGATGGAGAGAGAAGACAGAGATAAAGGTTGAAGGGTTGAAAAGAGAGGCGGGAGGATGTGAGTAGTTCTTGTCACATAGTCCATGTCCAACAGAGGAGCCAATGTTCCCAATAAAACAGGTTAGTAGCTTAAGGGGCAGTCAGTCAACAGTCCTGTGATTTCCTACTGTACAGTGTGTGTGTGTGTGTGTGTGTGTGTGTGTGTGTGTGCGCGCGTGTGCGCGTGCGTGTGTGTGTGCACATGTTTGTGTGTGTGTGTGTGTGTGTGTGCGAGCGTGTGTGTGTGCACATGTTTGTGTGTGTGTGTGTGTGTGTGTGTGCGAGCGTGTGTGTGTGTGCGCGCGCGTGTGTGTGCGTGTGCACGTGTGCTCGTGTGTGTGCGTTAACAGGCTGACACCAGCTGAATTATCCCGTGGGCTCACAAGGGCTGGCAGAGGGTTAACAGAGGGGTGTTGGCTTACACAACCTTGTGTCTGCACTGCAGTCTTCTACTATAAGGACATTTCAGACTACACATTAGATTGTACAATGTGGTACATTGCTAATTCAAATACAGTCACACCTACGCATACACAAACAAACACAAGCTGAGCACACCGTGCTCTATGTTCACGACACAGCCCATTGCAATACAACACTGCATACACATCATTGGCAAGATGGATGTATGATGTCTGAATGGGGGTTGTTGGATGAAGTGAAATCATCGTGGCTATTTTTGATCTGGAAGTGAGAACGCACACACACATGCACACACACGCACACACTCACACAAGCACACACACGTAGACACATTCACACACACGTATACACATTCACCCCTCGCCCCCACACGCAACGCTCAACCCCCACATACGCAACCCTTGAACCCCACACACACACACCCCTTACCCCCCCCCCCCCCCCACACCCCTCGCCCCAACATACACCCCTCCATCCCCCACACACAGAGCCGTATGAGCAATGATGCAGCAATGTAGTCATCATACCATACAGTAAGTCTGTGTGTGTGTCATTGCCCTGTGAAACACAGTACAGAGACCTTTCCTCCCATGTACACCCGTTTAGCCATAAAGGGAGAAGAGAAGCTGTTTTATTGTGCTGAGTGGTGTGTGTCACTGGGTTGCTATGTCTCATATGCACATTTCAGCGTTTCCATACACACTGACAGGAGGACGGGACTGAATAAGGACTCATGGGGGAGTTGTGATGTTGTGAAAACACAATGTGACAAGCAAGGTACAAAAAGAGTGTTCATATCTTGTCTTCCTTTTGCATCAATGCAACAAATGTGTTTTCTTTCAAATACTTTAGGTGTGCTTCATTTAGTTTACACGGAGCAAAGAAACCAATGGATAATACCAAAAGTGCAAACTCCACCCATTAGGCCTGCTGGGTAAGCAAGTTCAAACACAGGCAGGTTTTAGACCCTCACCAGTAAATACACACACATACACACACACACACACACTCACTCACTCACTCCCGTCAGATATTTATGAAGTATTTTGAAATGTTGTACACTGAGAGTTCATTCAAAAGAGCACAGGAGAAACTAAGTATACTGTAAGCACTGATCTGACATGATATAGACTAGTGGAGGCGATGCGGTGGAACCCTATCCATTGTGTCAGATCAGTGATTACTTCAAGGTAGGGAGGAGGAACAATGTATATACTGGGACATGTATAGCCATATGTGGAATCATTCACCATATGTTACAGCATACAGTATGTAGGACTTTATTAAGAGTTCATTGCCATGGGTGACCTTTGCACACACACACACACACACACACACACACAGTAAAGCTTTTCCAAGTAAGGCACTGACCCCATTGCAGGAAGCCCGAGACGTACTTCTCCCTGGCAAGGGGTGAGGAGCGGAACTCTTGGTACACCCCCACTAGCAGGTCCAACAGTGTCTGCAGTCCAACCGGCCCTGGGGCCTGGAGATCCAACAGCAGTAGGTCTAAGTCACGAGGTCCCGGGCCTGCCGACATGCTGTCCAGCAGAGGAGGGCCTGGGTTCAGCGGCGCTGCGACTCCCTGGAGTCCATGGAGACTGGAGGCTGGTGGCTGGTTCTGGAGTGGAGCTCTTCTAGCCACTGTCCCCTGTTTGTTTGACACTGGGGCTTCCTGTAGTTTACAGTGCCCTCCCTCTCTCGCTCTTCCTCCCTGTCTCTGTCACTCTATCTCTCTTTCTCCCTCTCTCTCTCTCTCTCTCTCGATCCGTCTATCTTTGTTCTGTGCACCTCGCAACTCCCTTGTCATCTGTCCGTCCTTCACTCTGTACAGTGTGTGTGTGTGTGGGGGTGTGTGTGACTGCTGGTGGGCTTACACCAGCTGAAATATGTGTGTGTCTCTCTCCCTTTGCCCTCCTCTCTTGGTCTCTGTTTTCGTCTCTCTTCTACCATTTATTTATGTTCCTCTGTCTGTCTGCCTCTCTGTCTGTCTGTCTGCCTCTCTGTCTGTCTGTCTGCCTCTCTGTCTGTCTGTCTGTCTGTCTGTCTGTCTGTCTGTCTGTCTGTCTGTCTGTCTGTCTGTCTGTCTGTCTGTCTGTCTGTCTCTGCCTCTCTCTCTGTCTGTCTGTCTCTCTGCCTCTCTCTCTCTCTCTGTCTCTCTGTCTGTCTGTCTCTGCCTCTCTCTCTCTGTCTGTCTCTCTGCCTCTCTCTCTCTCTCTCTCTCTCTCTGTGTCTCTGCCTCTCTCTCTCTCTCTCTCTCTCTCTCTCTCTCTCTCTCTCTCTCTCTCTCTCTGTCTGTCTGTCTGTCTGTCTGTCTCTGCCTCTCTCTCTGTCTCTCTGTCTGTCTCTCTGCCTCTCTCTCTGTCTCTCCACCCCCTTATTCTTCTCTCCCCGTGGCTCTACAGTGTCTGTTAAGCATGCAGTTACTCCGACTCTAACTCCAGCCCTTTTTTGGTGCGTCCCTTCTCTCCCTCGCTCTCTCTCTACTTCTGTCCAAATGCAGTGTCTGCAATATTACAGTAGATGGAGGACTGTGTTAATGTGTGAAAAAAGATGCCTCCATTTTTTCCTCCAAGTGACTTATTGCTTTGTAATCCCCGTCTCTCGTCCTCCTCATACGTCATTTCTTCCCTCCTTCTAAAACTTCAAAGTTCAAAATAGTCCACCTCTTTCACAGAATTGTATCTCCATTTTCTAGGACTGCATGTGGTCAAACCAAAACATACACTACTCTGTACCTCAGGTACATGCTTTATAGTCTCCTCAAATCTCACTACAGTTACAAAACTGTCCACGGTCCATGAGCTATTTCGGTCGCTCAACCTTTTGCAGACCCTTCCATCTCACCTCTTTCTCTCCTTCTGTCTTCACAGCCCTCCTCCCTCCCTTCTTCTCTTTTCAGGGGCACAGTGGTTGTCCACTTCTCTTTTCCAGCTCACTGGCTCTGAAAATCCTCCACTCACTCAGTCTGTCCTTCTCTTCTCGTCCGGTGTCTGTCGCTCATTGTTTGTCTGTAAGCTTTCCTCTCTCTCTCTCGTTCTCTCGCTCTCGCTCTCTCTTCCCAACTTTTCTGTTTGGACTTCTCCAGTGAACTGCCCCTTCCTCGTCTCCTCTGTTTCTAAATACACCTTCTGCCTCCCTCCCTTCAAATCAGCCTCTCTCTTTCTTTTCTTCTCTCCATTTTATTCCAATGTTTCATTGTTTTCACATTCTACAGAACGCATGCTTTATGCTGATGTATACTTACTGCTATTATAAACTGCTTACCAACGTAATTAGAGCAGTAAAAATAAAGGTTTTGTCATATCCGTGGTATACGGTCTGAAATACCACGGCTTTCAGCCAATCACCATTCAGGGCTCGAACCACCCAGTTTATAATTCAATACGGTGTTCATTTTAACTCCATATTGCTAAGTGTGTTTTGAATTGTGAGTGTGTGGTGCCCATGTGTGCTTGTGTGGTACACACCTGCATATTGTGCACATATGACAATGTGTTTCGTGCCTCTCAGGGCTGGGTGTCTCAGGCTCTGCACACTCCTGGATTGCATCCGTACTGGCAGGTCGCTCCTACCAGGTGACGTGGAGAGGATCTGTGTCTGCATCACGTGCTCTCACTACTGATGTCCCCAAGGGCTCGGTTCTAGGCCTCCTCTTCTCTCTATACACCAAGTCACTCGGTTCCGTCATATCCTCACATGGTCTCTCCTATCACTACTATGCGGATGACACTCAACTACTTTTCTCCGCCTCCCCCTTTTGACACCCAGGTGGCATCACGCATCGCTGTGTGCCTGGCAGATATCTCAGCTTGGATCTCACCTTAAGCTCACCCTTGACAAGACGGAGCTGCTCTTCCTCCTGGGGAAGGCCTGCCCGCTCCAAGACCTCTCCATCACGGTTGACAACTTCACGGTGTCCCCCTCCCAGAGTGCAAAGAACCTTGGCGTGACCCCGGATAACACCACTGAGTGTTAATTTAACACTTACAGAGTTCATTTAACTCCTGAATCAACACTAGAAATGTTACACTGGAAAATCAACACTAGGTAACACTGGCCAATTTGCTGTGTAGGTGTGTGTGTATGTAGCGCGTGCGTGTGCCTGCGTGCGTGCGTTCCTGTGTGCGTTGTACATACATTTCTGTCTTTTGTTGGTCCTCTGTAGCTCAGCTGGTAGAGCACGGCGCTTGTAACGCCAAGATAGTGGGTTCGATCCCCGGGACCACCCATACACAAAAATGTATGCACGCATGACTGTAAGTCGCTTTGGATAAAAGCGTCTGCTAAATGGCATATTATTATTATATTATTATACTGAACAAAAACACAACATGCAACAATTTCAATGATTTTGCTGAGTTACAGTTCATAAAAGGAAATCAGTCAATTTAAATAAAATGACTGGACAGGGGCGCAGTCATAGGCCCACCCACTTGAGAGGCAGGCCCAACCAATCAGAATGTTTTTCCCCCCACAAAAGGGCTTTATTACAGACAGAAATACTCCTCAGTTTCATCAGCTGTCCAGGTGGCTGGTCTCAGATGATCCCGCAGGTGAAGAAGCCGGATGTACACTACTGGTCAAAAGTTTTAGAACACCTACTCATTCAAGGGTTTTTCTTTATTTTTACTATTTTCTACATTGTAGAATAATAGTGAAGACATCAAAACTATGAAATAACACATATGGAATCATGTAGTAACAAAAAAAGTGTTAAACAAATCAAAATATATTTTATATTTCAGATTCTTCAAATAGCCATCCTTTGCCTTGATGACAGCTTTGCACACTTTTGGCGTTCTCTCAACCAGCTTCACCTGAAATGCTTTTCCAACAGTCTTGAAGGAGTTCCCACATATGCTGAGCACTTGTTGGCTGCTTTTCCTTCACTCTGCGGTCCAACTCATCCCAAACCATCCCAATTTGGTTGAGGTCGGGGGATTGTGGAGGCCAGGTCATCTGATGCAGCACTCCATTACTCTCCTTTGTAAAATAGCCCTTACACAGCCTGGAAGTGTGTTGGGTCATTGTCCTGTTGAAAAACAAATGATTGTCCCACTAATCCCAAACCAGATGGGATGGCGTATCACTGCAGAATGCTGTGGTAGCCATGCTGGTTAAGTGTGCCTTGAATTCTAAATAAATCACAGACAGTGTCACCAGCAAAGCACCCCCACACCATAACACCTCCTACTCCATGGTTTACGGTGGGAAATATTCATGCAGAGATCATCCGTTCACCAACACCGCGTCTCACAAAGACATGACGGTTGCAACCAAAAATCTCAAATTTGGACAAAAGACACATATCCACCGGCCTAATGTCCATTGCTCATGTTTCTTGGCCCAAGCAGGTCTCTTCTTATTATCGGTGTCCTTTAGTAGTGGTTTCTTTGCAGCAATTTGACCATGAAGGCCTGATTCACACAGTCTCCTCTGAACAGTTGATGTTAAGATGTGTCTGTTACTTGAACTCTGTGAAGCACTTATTTGGGATGCTATTTCTGAGGCTGGTAACTCTAATGAACTTATCCTCTGCAGCAGAGTAAACTCTGGGTCTTCCATTCCTATGGCGGTCCTCATGAGAGACAGTTTCATCATAGCGCTTGATGGTTTTTGCGACTGCACTTGATGAAACGTTCAAAGTTCTTGAAATGTTCCGTATTGACTGACCTTCATGTCTTAAAGTAATGAAGGACTGTCATTTCTCTTTGCTTATTTGAGCTGTTCTTGCCATAATATGGACTTGGTCTTTTACCAAATAGGGCTATCTTCTGTATACCGCCCCTACCTTGTCACAACACAACTTATTGGCTAAAACGCATTAAGAAGGAAAGAAAATCAACAAATTAACTTTTAAGAAGGCATACCTGTTAATTGAAATGCATTCCAGGTCACTACCTCATGAAGCTGGTTGAGAGAATGCCAAGAGTGTGCAAAGCTGTCATCAAGGCAAAGGGTGGCTATTTGAAGAATCTCAAATATAAAATATATTTTGATTTGTTTAACACTTTTTTGGTTACTACATGATTCCATATGTGTTATTTCATAGTTTTGATGTCTTCACTATTATTCTACAATATAGAAAATAGTAAAAATAAAGAAAAACCCTTGAATGAGTAGATGTTCTAAAACTTTTGACTGGTTGTGTAGAGGTCCTGGGCTGGCATGGTTACAAATGGTCTGCTGTTGTGAGGCTGGTTGGACGTACTGCCAAATTCTCTAAAACGACGTTGGAGGCGGCTTATGGCAAAAAAAATGATGATCATATTCTCTGGCAACAGCTCTGGTGGACATTCCTGCAGTCAGCATGCCAATTGCACGCTCCAACAAAACTTGAGACATCTGTGGCATTGTGTTAGGTGGCCTTTTATTACATTTGTCCCCAGCACAAGGTGCACCTGTGTAATGATCATGCTGTTTAATCAGCTTCTTGATATGCCACACCTTTCAGCTGGATGGATTCTCTTGACAAAGGAGAAATGCTCACTAACGGGGATGAATACAAAATCTGAGAGAAATAAGCTTTTTGTGCTTATTGACATTTTCTGGGATCTTTTATTTCATCTCATGAAACATGGGACCAACACTTTACATGTTGCGTTTATATTTTTGTTCAGTGTAGCATATCCGAATGAGCACAGCATGTGTTTGTATTATGTGTGCATAGCATATCTTAGACTTAGTGAATAAGTGTGTGGTGTCCATGTGAGAGGGTTTGTGTATGTGAGCCCACAGCAACAACAGCATAGCAGTGTGGTGCAGACGGTGTCAGTGGAATGTTTTCCTAAGGAAGTGGTGCTCTGGGACATGTCAGGGAACAGCACAGAACACTGGGCAGCTAGCTTCACCCTGATCAGACCCAATGCTGATCTAAGGTCAGTTTTGCATTTTCCCCACCAATGGCTGGTTAATATTTGGGAGGGGGTTAGCCGATCCTAGATCTGCTTCAAGGGTCCGCTCTGTCCAGAACCATTGCATGCTGGGAGAGTAGGGTGGGCACCAGGGTTGGGGTTGATTTCCATTTCAATTCAATTCAATAAACTGAAATTCCAATCCCAATGTTACCTTTTTTCAGTTGACAAAATATCACTTTACCTCCTGGAATAGTTTAATTAAAACGGAATTGACCCCAACCATGGTTGGCGCCCACATAGACCACACAGAGTAGAGTGAAGATGCCTCTAGATGCTGATTTATGATCCGTTTTTACCCTAAATGGTTGTGGTTAGGATTTGGGGGAGAGTAATCTGACCCTAGATCTGTGTCTAGAGGCGACTTCTACCCAGGCACAGAGTGGGCGCTCATGCACAGGCACAGACAGAATCCCCTTGTGAAAAGAGGAGGTAGTACTCTGTTTGAGGTTTGAGTGACACATCTTAACATTTGAGCCACAATGTCACAGTACAATATGTGACTGGGACAGTAGAGCCCATGAGTCATAAGATGTGTCCCAAATGGCATCCTATTCCTTTTATTTGTTATTTTATTTCACCTTTATTTAACCAGGTAAGCCAGTTGAGAACAAGTTCTCATTTACAACTGCGACCTGGCCAAGATAAAGCAAAGCAGTGCGATAAAAACACAACACAGAGTTACATATGGGGTAAAACAAAACATAAAGTCAAAAATAGAACAGAAAATATATATACAGTGTGTGCAAATGTAGCAAGTTATGGAGGTAAGGCAATAAATAGGCCATAGTGCAAAATAATTACAATTAGTATTAACACTGGAATGATAGATGTGAAAGAGATGATGTGCAAATAGAGATACTTGGGTGCAAATGAGCAAAATAAATAACAATATGGGGATGAGGTAGTTGAGTGGGCTAATTTCAGAAGGGCTGTGTACAGGTGCAGTGATCGGTAAGGTGCTCTGACAACTGATGCTTAAAGTTAGTGAGGGAGATAAGAGTCTCCAGCTTCAGAGATTTTTGCAGTTCGTTCCAGTCATTGGCAGCAGAGAACTGGAAGGAATGGCGGCCAAAGGAGGTGTTGGCTTTGGGGATGACCAGTGAGATATACCTGCTGGAACGCATACTACGGGTGGGTGTTGCTATGGTGACCAATGAGCTAAGATAAGGCGGAGATTTGCCTAGCAGTGATTTATAGATGGCCTGGAGCCAGTGGGTTTGGCGACGAATATGTAGTGAGGACCAGCCAACAAGAGCGTACAGGTCACAATGGTGGGTAGTATATGGGGCTTTGGTGACAAAACGGATGGCACTGTGATAGACTACATCCAATTTGCTGAGTAGAGTGTTGGAAGCTATTTTGTAAATGACATCGCCGAAGTCAAGGATCAGTAGGATAGTCAGTTTTACGAGGGCATGTTTGGCAGCATGAGTGAAGGAGGCTTTGTTGCGAAATAGGAAGCCGATTCTAGATTACAGTGCACTACTCTTAACCAGGGCGCCATATAAAAGGAATAGGGTGCTATTTCGGATGCAACCATTATCAAGCACACACTATGAGACACTGTCTGGGTCTATTGTACAACAGGAGAGAGAAGTGCTGTTCAGTCACAATAGAGAATACCACTGTACACAGAATATAAGAGAATTGAAGAAAATAGAATAGTTATTTAGAATAGAATAGATATTTATGCTGACACAGCACCAAACAGAAACATACTGTAAACACGCAACAGTGCTGGGAGCAGCACACGGTAAGCTGCATTACAGTGCCCCTGGGGTGGGTTTGGCATTAGATGCCTTGCTCAAGGGCACAACGGCAGTAAGTGGCACCTGAAATCCTGTCAGAAGTACCTCTGTCAGTCGTGGGATTCAAACGTGCAACCCTGGCTCGCCTCTAATCGTGTTGTAACAAGTTTAACAATTCAGTCACATGGACTAGTGCCCCCATGTGGTCAAAAGCAAGAATTACCCATGAATTGAACTGTAATGGGCAGAGCAGCTCTAACCTATAGACTAGCATCACAATCACATGCACTAACAATAACAGAAGCATATAGACGCTGGACAAAACGCTTTACATCCATTTATTCTCTGGATATCTGAAATCGACTCTGGGGTGAAGTTTCCCCTAGGTACATATCTAGGATCAGCTTCCCCTCCCCAATCCTAACCTTAACGGATTAAATGTGTTTTTATGTCCACTGTTAATACAGTCCCGAAATGTTTTGCATGTCAGCAGTCAAAGTTTTCAAGATATTGGGCTTTCAAGAAGCACAGTGTCACTTGCTACATCATCATGATGATGCATTTTGCATAGTGGAGAAAATGCTAAACTGACCCAAGATCAGCGTCTAGAGGCCACTTCACCCTACAACAACGAATAGCAACCAACAAAATGCCAGTAACCATGGCTTTAACATCTCAATTCAAGTACATTTCAAAGGTATAGCATGCTCTCGCTAGCAGTATTATCAGAATGTGTCTGTGTCCATGTGCTGTCTTACTGCAGCTTATGCTCTAGCTCTACTCTGATCTGGGGATATACTCATATGTGTTTACCCTCCATCACTAAAAGACATCTATACCTATTAATTAAAGTCATCGTAAAAGTATGATTTGTATAAGTAGTGCACTATAAAGGGAATAGTGTGCCATTTTAGACACAGTTATTTTGGGGAGACCCGGTGGCAATTGGGTGCTTTATTAGCTGGGTTGTGTTTACTAGGACCCAAAAGGAAGCAAACAACCTGAAACAAGGAGGGACTACCTGAACTTCTGCACTAATGAATACTTCCCTGGACTCTCTGTCTGCGGTGGCCATTTTCCCCGTGGCCCTTTAGTGGCCAACCCCGTGCAACGATAGTCACCATGATGTCACCTGCTCGTTTTTAATTTAAAGTGACGTTAAGCTGTTCAGTCGGTAAAGCTGGCTTGGGATCGTGTGAGTGCATGAGGGTGTATGTACTTACGGCATGTGTGTGTCAGTGTATCGGAGACAGAGAAGAGAGAGGGATAGAAGGAAAAGAACAGAAGAAAGACAGAAACAAAATCCAAAAGAGCATCAGACTTGGGTTCAGTTTTCGGGTGATGTTCCTGCTTGATTTGATTTGAAGGTTTGGACTATCTTCTGAACTCAGTACAGCCATTTCCAGGACACTCCGTTGGAAATGGTAACCCGGTTAACCTCTCCCCACAGGTAAGACCCGGAGTAGGGTGGTTTCCCCTAGACATTGATCTTGGGTCACTTTTTCCCCAATAATTGTTACGGTTAGGATTGGGGGAGGGGAAGCTGATCCTAGATCTGTATCTAGTAGAAACTTCACCGCAGAGCCTGGGCCAATGCTAGAGCAGTAACAAGCAAGCTTGGCATTGGCAGCCCAGTATTGACTGTCATTCTATAATATGTATCCAATAACATTTGGGAGTGTGACAATATCTCGTGCTAAAACGAAACTGTTCTGGGAACCACAAATAGTTTATGTAAATAGATAACATAATGCAAATGTGGTTAAGTTGGATACTCTCTGTTGGTTCCTGTTACACTGATGATGTTGAGCGCAGAAAGGTCGTTCCTCATTTCAGGTGCTTGAATGTTTACCGGTCAGTAAGCGATCATTGACAACAGAATTGGTCAGTATTAAAGTTGGGGTCAATTCCATTTCAATTCAGTTCCTTCAGGATATGAATTGAAATTAAATTCACGATTTCGAAAGGGCCATTAATCTTCAATGAGGATCATTCAAGTCACTTTTAAAAAATCAATCCAAAATAGAATTGATCCTAACCCCATTCAGTATTTCTGGTGTCCAGGATTGGTGTCCCACCCCCACTGACAATGGAACCACATCTGTGTTGGTTGACTTCGTGCCCTTGTTTTCTGTCCATTTCTGCCACATCGTCCCTCTTTCCTCTCCTCCCCCCTTCACTTCCTCTATCCTCATGAGGGGTGAGGAGTCATTGGGTGTGCAAGCCTGTTACCTCATTAAGGTCTTACTGTGTGGGATTAGCTAATGAAAAGAGACTTCCTCTCCCTCATCATTAAAGCTACAGTCTGTGATTTGAAAATAACAACCATCTGTGGGATGGGGCTGGGAAATGTAACCACTGTTTTTAGGGCCCATGGGACTCATCATAAACTCATCTGCAGCCCCCACAATAAATTGTATATATATCACCACTATATTTGTATTACAATCTCTACATCAGTGGAGGCTGGTGGGAGGAGCTATAGGAGGATGGGCTCATTGTAATGGCTGGAATGGAATTAATGGAACAGTATCAAAAACATAAAACATATGGAAACCACGTTTGACTCCGTTCCATTAATTCCATTCCAGACATTACAATGAGCCCGTCCTCCTATAGCTCCTGCCACCAGCCTCCACTCTACATATAGAAAAGGGCAGCCCCCATTTGCCCTGTAGAACAGCAAGTGTTTTTTTGTGGGACATACTGTAATGTCACCTGAGCAGTGAGCTTTGATCAATGTCTGCTATATTACATCAGTCTTTGCTTAGATTTATCTACTCTATGATACAGAAAAGAAAGAGGATTCCTTTGTCTTGAATCTCAGCCAAAACCCTCTGAAATATTGTAGATACTGATGTAAAAACACTTGTTGTCTAATTAAAGCTAAAGTCTACGATTTGAAAAACAACAAAATGTCTGTCCGCCACTTGTTTGGGTAAACAGCTAAGCGATGGTGCTGGAGAAATGTAACCACTGAAATTCATAGACATAGCTGACCAGGACTGACCATCCATGAAATTAAAACGATATTTTAAACCATGGCTGGGATTCAATCAAAGGCATGTTGTCGACAACCGCACTGAACATGACTCTGCATGTTCCTGTGTGTGTGTGTGCCTGTGTTAAGCGTGTTAAATGATATCTGTATGCTATGTGGTGGTATCTTACTGTGATTTAACACACTCTTGTTGTGTGTGTGCAGTGTGAATGTGATGACTGCCCCAGTGGATTCAGCAGATCCACTGCAGAGGAGAGGGAGCAGAGTCTACCAGGTACTCTCTCTCTCTCTCTCTCTCTCTCTCTCTCTCACACACACACACACACACACACACACACACACACACTGCCAATAAAAGTCATTGACATATATGACAAAGTGTCCCACAAACTCAATAACATACATCTCTTTAGTAACAGAGAATATGTAAAAGAGAATATGTTCTCAGTCAACTTACCTGGTCAAATAAGGGTACAAAAAAAAAACAATTTTTAAAGCTATTTCTTCTTGTTACCAAGACGCAC